GCATATTCTTGCACCTAAGTGTCTAATATTCAAATTTCGCTTTCTGGGTCAAAACTACTCGAACTTCCTCACTCGCGTTGTTACGACTGAATCGAGTTTTGAATTCTCTATCAACGATGCCAAAACGAATTCTGTGGCTCAAATGGTTCTTGAGAAACTTCGAAAAAAGCAGCGTCACGTTCAAGTGGATTTTGCAACTCAAAAAAAACCACGCAAATTTAAAACTTCTTGAATTCAAGCATTTTTTGGGAAAACTGCCAACATTTCCTTATCGATAGTTTACTTTCTAAAAAGGCCATTTATTTCTGTCTAGAATGATGTACAAATGAGCGTTCTTACGGGACGGAAATCATGAAATTTTGCAATAATCTTGCGCCACCCTTGCACAAAACGACGATCATACTTCTAATTTCATAAACAACAGAAGACTGTATTTTTTCTACATAACCCCCCCACTGACTTTAATGCTGGATCCGCCCCTGGCCACAATGATTCAAAAGTTCCCATCTAAGGCTGCAATTTACACGTCACAAAGAACACGCGAAACTTTGTTGTTGCTAGACATTCATTTTTGTGAAAAATATTCAGAAAATTTGTTCGTTTTGTAGCTTTTGTATTTTTTGCTAACTTGTTTTAACATTTTTCAGTTAACACAAGCTAATTTAATTTCTCTCGATAAACTTTTGTTATAAATAACACTGCAGCGACCTGCCGATGCCCAATTGACAATGTCATAGTATGTTTGTCGGCGTCACTGTTCTGTTGCTGAGCTGGGCCAGCTGCGCCCTCAGCGCCCAGTACCAGGAGCGCTACCTGGACGTGCCGGTCGACCACTTCAGCTTCAGCAGAACCAACGAAACCTTCAAGCTGCGCTTCTTGGTAGTGGAACAGTTCTACGTCAAAGGCAGCCCCATTTTCTTCTACTGCGGCAACGAGGCCGACATCACCACATTCTTCGATAACACCGGGTTTCTTCTGGAAATTGCGCCCATCTTCAACGCCCTGGTGGTTTTCGCCGAGCACCGTTACTACGGCCTGTCCATGCCCTTAGGAGCGCGCTCTCTGAGTCCTTCTGAGGGGCTGCGCCTGCTCACCACCTCCCAAGCGCTGGCGGACTTTGTGCGTCTGATCGACCACCTGGGGGGGCAGTACTTCGGCACCATGCTGACCAATGACACTTTTCCAGTGGTGGCGTTTGGCGGTTCGTATGGCGGCATGTTGGCGGCGTGGTTGCGCATGAAGTATCCCCATGTGGTGCTGGGCGCAGTGGCCTCCTCAGCCCCATTGCTGCAGATGAACAACCTGGAGCTGTGCCAGGCGTTCTACCGCTCCGTCACTGAGTCGTTTGCGGCCAATGGCAACTGCAGCTATCCGGTGAAGTTGTCGTGGGCGGCCATTCGAAACCTGTCGGAAACTGTGCAGGGACGACGCAGTGTTTCGCAGGTGTTCAAGTTGTGCAAGCCGCTGGAGTCTAGTGAAGATGCCGGCAAGTTAATCGACACCCTGGTGGATATTTACGTGAATCTGGCAATGTTGAACTATCCCTATCCGACTCACTTTCTGGCGCCGCTGCCCGCCAATCCAGTGAAATCCTTCTGCGACAAGCTGCGCAGCTTTGGGGTGGTGGAGACCGCCGTGGAGCTGCTCCAGGCGGTGTCCAGTGCGCTGGAAATCGCCACCAATTTCTCGGGAAACACTCAGTGCAACAACATCGAAACCACAGTGGAACAGCCCGTTGACTACGCCTGGGACTTCCAGGCCTGCTTCGAGCTGGTGATGCCCATCTGCAGCTCGGCGCTGGACATGTTCGAGCCGACCCAGTGGAACTACTCGAAATACGCCCAGGACTGCAGCAGGAAGTACCAAGTGACGCCCTACTCCTCCAACGGGGTTCTACTGGAGCATGGCGGGCGCATTCTCAAGTACGCCTCCAACATTGTCTTCAGCAATGGGCTTTCAGATCCCTGGTGCAGTGGCGGGGTGCTGAAGAACGTCTCAGATTCGGTGGTGGCGGTGCTGATTCCCCAGGCCGCCCACCATTACGACCTGCGCGCCGCCCATCCGGTGGACTCGCACTATGTGCTGGAAGCCCGCAAGTTCCACGTGGGGCAGATCAAAAAGTGGCTGAATATTCCGTAGATGGTTGGGGGCGTTTCGCGCCCCCAGTTGCCATAGACAACAAATGACTGTTTCCGGGGGGTGATTAAGCGGCCGCCGCTCTACAGTGCCAAATCAGTCCGCCAAATTAAATCCGGCCTCAGATTATTACATACCTCAGTGACGGTTCATAAATATCCGGACCCCTGGCGGGTCGTTAAGGGCCGCCACCGTCATCGCGAGATATTGCCGATACTCCACGGGAATGATCGGGATAATTAACGGGACTCGTTCGCTCCAGGCCGGAATACATCTGATGTAATATCAAGTGCATGGATAGGAGGGGCGGTTTTTGACAGCAAATGACTTGGAGAGGTGTCAAAATTTGGCTACAAATAAATCATATCTGTCAAAAAAATATAATGTTTCATTCTAGGAAATTGTGGGCCTAATTCGAAAAATCGCCAATGACTTGCTTGTTATT